TTTTTGTATTATAAAATAATCCAAACTAGTAATCTATTACCTAATAAGAAAATTTTACTTGAAGAGTCAAATGCAGAATAGGCCAAAGTTAAAAAGAAAAATGAAAATGAATTATATATAATTATTGCAAACTATTATAGAACTTCTATAGATATGACAAAATTTAAGTTTCAGACCTCAAGACCAAGATCTGAAACTTTAGCATTCAGTTTATTACAAACAAATAATATATTTATTAATATAGCAATGTCACAAGAATTAGATATACCTTCTAATACTATTATGTAATTAGAAGCTAAAAAAAAACAAGAAAACCTCTAAAAAAAAATTATAGAATATATGCAACTTCTTAACATAGCTAATAATAACTTAATAAAGAAAGATTTAGAAACAAAAATTAATCAAGAAAAGAGAATTGTAAATGAGCAAACTAAACTTATTAATTATTTAAAATGCTATATCCTAACACAAGATCATGTAAAAGAGTAAAAACACTAATTGTTGGAGTAAAAGATTGTAGAACAATATAATTCACCTGGATGACTATCATACTTAGCCAAAAATCCAGATCTATATAATCAATTACATGCTTGTGTAGAATTTAGCTTAGCAGATAATTAGAGAAGAAAAGAGTAGATTAAAATAAGAACTTTAAAATACCTCAAACAAGCAATAGAAGAGAATTATCAACAATATCTTTCAAGGTCATGTCTTTAAACTTATCTTATTTAGAAAAGTAAATTAAACTAGTTTGTTGATATTTCTAAAATTTAACGAATGTATATAATGCATTTATATATTATCAATAATCTGCTAATAAAAGAAGATATTCAAAAATATATAAATGTTGGTCTTTGTTATTTTAATGGAATTGGAATCGAGAAAGATAAATATAAGGCATTTATATATTATCAAAAGTCAGCAAAAAATATGACATGATAAAGGAATATATATGGTTAGTTATTGTTAGTATGAAAGATATTAGAGTTAAGAAGAATAAATATATAGTATTTTTTTATTATTAAGTTTATAGAGATAGACAACGCTAATAGATTAATTAGGTGAGACCAACTTGATTCTGTGTTTTATGTTACTCCTCTCTCTTTTCTGAGGAAGGAGTAGAGTAGGTTTGATCATCTTATGCATAGAAAATGTAATTTTTAAAAATTATTTTATTTCAGAACTTTTCAGCTGACTACGCTTATATTTATATTTATTCATTACCTATATTAGAACTTTTCAGATCATTACCAGCTTCAAACCTTTTTGAAATATTAGCAACTAGAAAATTTTATATATACCTAAAAATTTTTTTTACTAAGAAGGAGGCGAGAAGGTTTGGAGTGAGAGTAATGTAAAACACAGATTCAAGTTAGTCTCACCTTAGTACATGATAATAAAGTCGAATTAAAGAGTGAATACAAAGCTTTGTAAGGTAAATTTATTTAATTCTATTGAAATAGATGAACAAGTTTGGTCTTGTTATTTAGCATAGCTTTTGACCTCAAAGTAATTTATTTTTAAGGCCTTATTTACTGAGATCTGCATAGCATATACATTATGGATTTAGGCCTTTCAATACAACTTTTTAAACAAGAGAATAATAGATTTTTAGAAGGTTACCTTATATTGATCCAGAATATTAATTTTACTATTATGCTAACAGTAGATGAATGCTATCCAAAATATTATAATTTCTTTTTAAAAATACCAGTCTTTTAAAGAACTCTGGGCTTATGCGAGTTCTTTTAGAACTCATAATATTTCCGCAGTCTGAAAATAACCTTTCAGATGGTGTTGAAGTAGCTGAAACAGAGAGGTATGCACGTGCTAATTCACTTAACACAGGAAACCTTTTTTTATTAGTCTTCTACTATGCAAATGGATCATAGTTAATAGGTATTTGTGAGACTGCAAGATATTCATCAAGTTCGCTTTGTGAATTGACAGTTGGTAGATTATTAAATATATTGAAAAGTATAGATTTGTAAAGCGTAGTCAATGTAGAATTAGGAAAAGAACATATATTTGATAGGTTTTGTGCTGATATTGTAGATGTTGAAGCTGTAGTTAGGTTTACTTTTAAATTATTTTTCATATTATAATATTTATTTTTTAATAATTCTTGAATCTCATCTATCTTATCAGATGCGAATTCTATTTTTTTAACACATGAATCAAGAATAGAAAGTAAATATGAAGTGATATCTCTTTTCTAATAAAAAAGCATTGCACGATATAGTGTTTCTTTTACTTTTTCTAATACATTAGAAGTTTGCATTAGTTTATCTAAATCTATTTTTTTTGTTTGTTCATATCTTGTTGGTCAATTTCTACAAAAATATCTTCAATTTTTTCAATATTTATTTCATTTGTTTCATTTGTTAATGAAGCAGGTTTTAGCATCTTAAGAATTGTGGTTAATAAAGGACTTATTATACTGTAAGTAGCATAGTTACTACTACCAAGATATCTAGTTACTTCTTCAAAAGGGTCTAAGACCAGAATAAGATCACAAAGCAAATCCTATTCATTATTTGTTAACATTATTTTAGTTAATTGTTGAGAATCTTTCTTACTATCTTGATTACTATTTTTAGCTAAATTAGCTTCAAGTATGCGAATATATCCTTTTAATTCTAAAAGTCTGTACCATGCCAAATAGCTAGAATTCCAACAGGTTAATACATCAGCGATTACATGCCTTAAATATTTTGATGTTTTACTAGCATTCTAAATTAAAAAAAATATCTAAATAAAAATTTATAATTAAATAATTAAATAAAATAAAAAATATAAGATAGCAAGTTCCTTAAGAATAAAATAAAATAAAATATATAAATTTTTAATAAAAAAAAATTAAATTAGTACTATATAGCGCATATTATAGTACTCTTAGTGAAAAGTATTCTAATTAATAGTATCTAAGTATAATATATAGCCAATTAGAAAATAGTTAAATGACTAATACTTAATTTATACGTATATAATTTTTATTCTGATATATTTCTGATTTTAATACAATGCAGTTGTACTGCTATCTTATAAATATGTATTACAAAATTTATAGTTAGTTATATAGTTAGTTATATATTATCGCTTCATAAAATTTTATCTTTTTTTCGATATATATAGCCAAGAATTAAGCATGTTAAATTGTCAAAAAATTAACTTAATTAACTAAATCAATTTTTATTAACTATTTTCAAATTAGTTACGATTATATATGTACTAATACCTATTATATCTAATATATAGTATTTGAGGATACTATATATTTATAGTTTGTATAGCTTTAGCTGAATATACCTAGTATACTATAATATACACTATACATATATTATAAAAAAAAATTGTAAACCTCATTAGAGCTTAAATAACATTTTTGAATATCTTGTAATCATTCAGATTGCTTAGGTCTTAGAAAAAAATCGATGAGACGTTTTACTCACCCTACTAAAATTTCAACAGGTTATAATCTCTTTCTGATTATTAAATGCAAAGTATGTGCTATACATGGTTGCCAAGTTATATTTCTTGCTGAACATTTTAGATCCTTAATAGCTTTCTGCATATTTTGACCATTATAGTAGTTATTATAAATACCTTGTCACGTAATTCTAATTCATCTAAAAGTGAAAGTATAGTATCTTCAATATTTTCAGCCGTATGTGGATAACAAACATATTTAACAGTAAGTGTAATTTCATGTAATTGAAAATTATTATCTAAATATAAACATGTTATGCCTAGATATCTTTGTCTATTTCTTCCCATCCAGAAGTCACATGTTAAAGATACTAATGTAGCTTTTTTTAACTTTTCAGTTATTAATGAGAACGAATAATTATATGTACGATGAATAAGTTTTTTAACATATTTAGCATTTGGAATTTGAAATTTAGAATCTAATTCTGTTATAAATTTTTTAAAAGCTTTATTTTGCAGAACAGTAAGTGGTTGAGAATCACTTATTATTTAATCCATAAGGTACTGACACAATTCAAGTTGTCGTGATTCATTGTGAGGTGTTTTAACAGAAACTAAATTATTTTTAAAATTAGTCTGCTCTTCAGTTATGCTATGAGCATTATTAAGATGAGTAGCGCAATTACTTGTAGATATACCAATTTTGTATTTTTTTATCACATTTTGTTCCTTTAACTGTTTCAACTTTACAAATCGCAACTCTTATATTGTTTTCATATTCTGGATCAAAATAGTGCCAAATCCAACTTCTAATTTCACTTTCTCCATGTATATTATTATGCTTAACTTTTTTATTATTTGATTTGTATTGATCAGACACCTCATTATGAGTTGATACTTCAGTATTATCTTCATTATTGAGAGATATTTTTCTATAATATTAAATAATATTAAATAATTCGTAGTTCATATTTATTAAATAAGTAATGCTAAAGGAAAATTAGCCTTTAGGCTTAAGTTTATTATTTATTATTATTTATCATATTTAGCTCTAATAATATACATATAATACATTATTAAATTCACTTTTATATCATATATAAAGCTGAGTTTAGCAAATAATAAATAATAAACTTTACAAGATATAGTTTTCTCTTGATACCCAATAGTATTATAAACGAAAAAAGAATATTACTTAAAATATATACATACATATAATTTGGTGAAGTAAAAAGAAAAAATATAGAAAAATTTCTTTTGATATCCTGTAATACCTTAAAAATATTGAGTTTTATTGCCAATTTCACAATATGCTTTTAACTTTTAAAGTGATTAAATATAAATAAACTTTTTAAACAAATTAGTACACAAATGAACTACTTCTTTCACAAATTACAGAAAATTTATTTAATGGGCTTTCAGATATATGATATAGAACTCTCAAATTATTACTAATTCAAATTTGAGATACTCAATAGATTTTATAAATTCTCATCGTATCATATCTTTTTTACAAATTCAATAAATAATTTAGAATTAGATTCTCATATAATTGAGACTAGAACTTTAACATGAAATATGCAACTAATTTTTCCTTTTTGTCGCATTTGATTATTTCTATATTCATTTTTTTTTTTTTTTTCATGCGTAAGTAACTAATTTTTCCTTTTTGTTTATTTAATTATTTTTCGTGTGAATTCGAATTTTAGAATTTTCAATAAAGTCTTATCTATTTTAGCATTATTACAATACACAACTATAAATTTATAACTTTACTTTTTAGGTTAGCAGAGCAGACGTATTGAACAGATTAAACAAATAATTTGCGATTCGCATAATTTTGAAGATTTTGACCAGATTATAAATTTTAAAAGAATTCAACAAATGATCTTCAATCTGCATATTTGAACGGATTGAACGAATGATCTGCAACCTGTATACCAAATTGAATAGTTATACAAAAATACAGATTTTGAACAGATCATTCGAATTGCAGATCAATAGATCACATCTCTAGCTAGGAATATAGTGAGCATCTTAGGAGATTTATACTTTAAAATGCATTTACTAATATCATTCAGCTCATATAATGCATTTAATACTTCAAATACTAATATATATACTCATCCTAATAGAACCTAAACTCAAAACACAACTAATATATATTATAATCTCTTCTTTTCACAACATAATCTTCTACTACTCAAAGAAAATATTATATTAGACTCTTTTCTTCTACACTTATCTAATTACTCCTTCTCACAATTATTCCTTATCTCTATAAATTTAACTCTTACTAAAACTCATATATATCTTAATTTGAATAATCCTATTTTTGAAAATTATCAAATTCTTGAATCAAACTAATTTTTTAAATTCTGCCACCTACCTATCCGTACAAACAAATTTCAAACTCCACTAATTAACACAGATGAATTCTTTTACAAATACAACAACTAACTACTTCTCAAAATATTTAATTACAAACAAATTATACAAATAATTTTACAACTAATTTTACTACTACTAATACTATTAAAAATACTTTTTTAAATATTAATATAGCTTCAATTAATATTAACAGTCTCTCGCTACTACATAAACAACTTTTATTACTAGACAAAATTAATAAAAACAAATATAATATCTTTGGTATTTTAGAAACATATTTATCAGTTAGGAAGGCAAATTCCTTAATAAAGAAATACTAACCTATACTAGTTTTTGAAGCTTTTTTACCAACTCTCGTTAAGCCAGAGTAGAAATTTTCATATACTATTCGATCTCAAAATTTATTGCTTGATCACATATTATAAAAGCCATATTATAGATATTGACCTATATTTTAAAAATAACTCAATCTATCTTTTGCAGATTTAATTTCTAACAGTAGAGAAAAAAACACTATGAAAAGAAATTCAAGAAGAAATAATTAAACTCTACACAAATACAACATACAAAATTATTCTAATAGGTGATTTTAATAGTATTTCAAACTCTTGCTTAGACAGATTTCCTTCAAAAAAGTTCTCTATTCCAGAATCAAAACTTATTAAATTTCTAATAAGTTAACAATTTAAAGATACATTTTGCTTATTCTTTCTAAACATATCAAAATATACTTTTTTAAGAGCAAATTCTAATAGTAGAATTGATCATATCTGAACTAATCTAAATGCAATACTACTTGATTATACGGATATAATATCTATATCACAACTAGAATCAGATCATTAATTAACAACATTAGAATTAACTTTTTAAACTACTTATACTTCACCAACTAAACAGAAAACTAGGAAAAGTTTCCTATAAAAAAAATATAATAAAGAAAAACTTGAAAAATATACAAGCCAGACCTCTCAAAGCTTACAACAACTTCAAGATTAACTTTCTAATATCAAATTACAAAACTAACTCAATCTGCTCTGGAACAAAATACATAAAGCTTTATCTAAAGCTTCTACTAAACACATTCCTTTTAAAAAAATCAAACCTATTTAGGAAATTAAAGAAAATCTAAATACTAAACTCTTTCTATTATACTACTGCTTCAAACAAATTCAATTCCTTAAAAACTATTTCAAGGTCTGGTGATCTTAGTGTAGTGGTTAGGTTGTCAGACCACCATATAAGATGTCTGAGGTTCAAATCCCACTGTCGACGAATTTGAATAATTACTCAAACCTTTGTATCCAACTTACGGTAAACCCTGTTCGTTTCTGGGGTTATAACCCTATAAATCGTATTATACTAATATCAATCAGGTATTAGAAGTGTAACAGAAAAGTCAGATTTAATATAACATTACATGAATAAATTTAGATAGGATCTACTGGTAGCGGACTTGCATGGTAGAAATCTTGAGTTAGGTGATGTAGTATGAATTTTAACAGTCACGCTGGCTTGATGCTTGATCTAGAGGAAGTCTCAGAATGAAGAATGCAGATTGAGTAGGTGCAAGTAAGTCTATAATGTAATAGAAAAGTTAAGCATGATATAACATTACACGAATAGCAATACCAACCTGGCTTGGTGGCAAACTGAATTTAGGAGGATTTATCTCATGAAATATTCAGAAGGACTAGACCAATTTAGTAGAAAGCTATGGAAGGAACTGGGTTTGTATAAACACTGATAAGGGTATATACTAGCTTAATTGGGATATAGCATAGCATAGTTGGGATCATGCACAAGCCCTCACTGGAATAGAACGCAGGTGGGTACCTTGTGATAGAGCTCAGTCCTATGAAGTCAATTTAAGGTACAAGTTGGTCTGAGTAGTCCTCAGATGAGGCAGCACAAGATTAGTATAGATAAATAAATATTAGGTTAAAAATAGAGTTTCATTATAACGCCAGAGAGTTTAAATAGAGTATCTACAGGCAGATACTATGTATGGCAATTAGTAGGAACCTATATAGCTGAACCTGTAAATAAACAATGACTAAAGTTGTACATGTAGCTAATTGTATCTTTACTAACAAATATAACTTAAAAATAATACTTAATAAAAATCTGCGGACAGCTTGTTGAAAAATAAAAAATAAAAAAAAAATA